ACCAGTTTTATTGGTTCCTGATATGAATATTTTATAGTAGTTGGATTTCTAGTGACCCTGGCCGTCCAAGTGAGTTTCTGAAACTCTACATATGTCTACTTTTTTTCTTATAAACTCTCGTTCTAAGACATGTAGTTTTCCTGGTTCTAACAAACCTCTTATGTTTTATAAAACGTTATTTCCATATACGAAATTCTTTATAAAACTGCTTTATTTCGTTTTTATTCTTATCTGCAGGTGAGACATATTTATATTGACTTTAAAAGCCTTAAGCTGTAATCAGAGGATTCTGTGCCAACCTGGAATGAAATTAAATATAGATTCGATAAGGTTTTCCTTTAGTATTACACAGTATACAATTCCAGTGGTTTGTAAAATTATTTCCAGAGTAGTAGAGTGTGCGTTTCTATGTTAGCATTTTCTTTTTCCTGGTTATCTCACTTTCAGTTTTTGACATCTAATGAAAAAAACTATGATAAGTACTTCTGCACAATATTCGACAAGGAAAAGTAGAATGACGAATTGTTACGGTTACAATACCTGGACTGTATTGATCTTAATAAACTAGTAAGGAAAAATTAGAATAACTAAGATATTATGCTCCAAAATGAGTGATGCACATTAAAAGCTATTTTAGGTTTTAATTAATATATAGTTATTAAGTAATAATTGTTTTTAAAGATTCTTTTTAAAGGCGTTATTTAATGCTAAAAGATTATATGGTTACCCAGAGCTCATTTGCTAGAAAAGAAAACTTAGGATAATAGACAAGAGCAATGAAAATATCCAGACACATATCCATATCCAAATATCCATATAATATTTAGACACCACTTTGATTTTGTTACTCTTTTCTACACTGATGTATCTTATGCCGTAGGTTGTCTCTATCTTTTCCCTTTTAAATAGCAGCAAATTAACATAGGTATCTGAGAGCGATTATTTTTATATACCCATATTTATTTATTGTTTATTGAAAATTAAATAGTGTATTATATGCTTTTATGCTCTATGGGCAAACTGATAAAAACAAACAAATTAATAAACAACCAATTAAAAAAGAAGCACCTCATTTCGACGTATAAACAGTTGAAATAATTCAAGCAAAATAAAATAAATATGTAAGACAATTAGTTTTTAATATTTTTTAGAAGTCAAACTAAACGCCAATTCAATAAAAAATAAATGTTAAACTAAATATTTGCTCCTGAACTTACACGTAACTAGTCTTCGATCTCTGCGGTATCATCTTCGCAACTGCATTATTCACAGATGGATAATAAATGTCCGAAACATATAAATCTGAAACATTTGTAGCGACGCGACGGTAGAGTTTTACGATTTGTTTTAGTTGGGCAGTAACTACGCCTTTCATGCCTAACTTTTCTATTTTGATGATAATCAATTTGCATGCCTAATATTTCTAAAAGTTGATCGATTTTTTTTAGAAATTGTATCCTATTAAACCCGTTGTTTTATATTATCGTTTAGTAAATCATAACCAAGTTTTTCTAAAAAACCTCCTAGGTGTTTTGTCTTATACATTATTGCATTTGTAAAGATTGAATGCATTTATGACAGCCACATTTATTGTACCATAAAGCAAAACCATTGGCCAGCGGCAGATAATTCTAGAGCAGTTATAAGAAGCATCTACACTCCTTTAGTTTTATTATATTCTCTGATGATTTCCAGCTTTTGAGTTTCTTGAATATAGGATCTAAAAGTTAAATTCTTTTGGAAGCCGAACATACTTGCTTTACTGGTCGACGAATATTCACAAACTCTAGTGGAATATTTCTCTTATATTTTCCCATTGTACCTAATATTGTAAGCTGGTAATCATGCAAAAGTTTAGTTGCTATATTTACAGAGGTAAAAATATTGTCCATAGTTACATTTTGCTTTGCACCTCTTATAGGGTCACACAGACGAGAAAGCAAGGCAATGTTAGCAGTATCTTTTCCATAAGATCCATTCCGATGCTTACCGACGTATACTTTTATTGACGAGATATAAAACAGTTGTAAGTCTTTTATGCTTTTATTTAGATGGTTTGAAACAACATTTCGTCGGCCGTTGTAAAATGGGACATTTAATAATGTGTTGGTGACTGAGCAGCAAAGATGTCAAAAAATTCCCTTATTGCAGCTAGTTTATCACGTTTTTGGCGCTTTTTGAGTATTTTTTCAATCAAAACACAAATTTCTTAATATAAACCTAAATCTTCCTAAGGGCATTGTCAATCGGTATCTCTCTATTGACATTCCATTGTTTCTAAAAAGGTTAACAGCATTTTGGTGGTTACTTTTATTCGCAGCTGCTATGTACAGTAATCCTAGAAACGCCTTTAGCTCAGTTACGTCTATCGGACAAACTGTTTACAGTTCTGGTGTAGTTTTTCAGCGAAATATAGATATTTTCGACGATAATATACAATAAACCCGGCGTAAAAAATAAATTCCAAATTTCGAAAGCTTCCGTTTTTTGTTTCGCAACTCCTCTCATTCCAGGCACTTAAGTTACAATATTTTGGGTACAGGTACGTACAACTTTTCGAGAGGAAACATGCTGATTCCAACGGATAATCTTATCTTTTCCGAAAAAATAGGGAATTCTGTGAAGAGGACTATTTTCGTCGAGATTTTTATTGTAACCATTTTCTTTAAATTCTTCCACAGTGTCTGTATTATAATGTTGAGTTTCTAATTCCTCAAAAATAAGGCTCTCATCATCTTGTGTTTGTTTATTTCCAGATTCATCCTTCAACTCATTCCATAGCACTTGAATTGTTTCTTGTTTCCTTTTATAATCTTCCAACGCCATGAAAGATATGCTGTAACAAAAAGTTTAGTTATTTCAGTAAAAACAAACGCCACGAAGAGAACTGTCATAACAATTTTATAATAGAAAAATAACAAGTTTATAGACAATGAATGGGTTGCATGAGTTGCATCGTCAGGTCTCTAGAAACATAACATAAATGGTAAAATATAAATCGCCACCATTAGGGTACTGTCAGGTGAAACATAATAAATTATGCCAATATTATAATATGTGCATAGTTTTTAAGAATTTTATAAAATTTTCTTGCATTCCGATACAAGGTATTGTCACCGTCGGGGGAACAAAATAATGGGGTCTGGACTCCTTCTATTGCCTCCGGGTGCTCTGTAGAGGGCTTCGGAGACGTCAACGAATGCACCTCTACCCAAGTCTATTTACTGGATATAGACTTGTGAAATTTTCTTCTGATGACTCGTCTTGAGAAAGACGAGCTATTTCTTACATGACTTATATGTGAGAAAGTCGAAACAAATCAGGTTTTGGTCTTCGGTGACTTGCCTTGATAAAGGCAAGATATTTCTTACATGAACAAAAGGAGGTAGTCGAAATAAAAACACCAAATACTGTTGAAATAAAATACTCAGCCACAGAGTATAGGAAAGCTAAAAACAAGAAAAGCAGAGCCCCGAGAGCACTAAGCTCTCGGAGAGCCCGTGAAGGACTGAACTGATTGACCTGAAAATCGCCTATTTTTATACTTTCTGAAGTAGCGATTAGGGATTTCCAGGTCAGGGAGGGGCCAACGGAAAAATAAGGGGCGGGGCGATGCGTCTCGAACGTGAACTAGTCGCGTCCGAGAACATCCCCCCTCCTCTGGAGACTCTGTGGCTGGGAAAAAAATTTATTGAAAATTCAAAAATATTAAATTACAATAAAATACATGTGAATTAACACAAGAATACATAAAAATGTATGGAAAGTATGAGAAATACATGAAAATGTAAATAAAATTAAAAAATTGTCTTTAAGCAAACTCACTGCACAGCACTAATAGGGAGGTCGGTGGTGTTGACGGCATCTCCGGCTCCTGCAAGTCCATCCTCGATCGCTGTGCCAACTCCTTCGACGGGTTCGCCTTCTTCTCGGTCGTCCGGATCCCATCTGCCATATCCAGGGGTTTCGCAGAGTACCAGGGTGCCGAAGCCTACGTGGTCGTCCAACCAGTTTCGGTAGGGGGCGATGACTGGATCTACTTCTGGACTTCCATTGGCATCAGGGGCTTCTGACTTCGAAGAAGTCTGGCTCGTCAAAGGTGCCTGCACGCCGAAGGCATCCGGTTTGCAGAAGGCCTCGATGTCGGAGTGTTAGAGTATAGCTTTCTAAACACTCCGTGGTTCTCCCCATTCTTCTCTTGACTTCAACCCATGTTGAAGTCAATAGTATGCTGCCTTCTGCTGTGCGTCGAGCTGGATCGTGGGAGTGGAATAATCCATGTTGTTGGGCGCCATGTCACCGTCGGGGGAACAAAATAATGGGGTCTGGACTCCTTCTATTGCCTCCGGGTGCTCTGTAGAGGGCTTCGGAGACGTCAACGAATGCACCTCTACCCAAGTCTATTTACTGGATATAGACTTGTGAAATTTTCTTCTGATGACTCGTCTTGAGAAAGACGAGCTATTTCTTACATGACTTATATGTGAGAAAGTCGAAACAAATCAGGTTTTGGTCTTCGGTGACTTGCCTTGATAAAGGCAAGATATTTCTTACATGAACAAAAGGAGGTAGTCGAGAACTTTCCTATATTTGTTAAATTTCTCGATGACTATCGGCCAAAATCCAACTATAACGGAGCTTAAAGTATGCGTTTATAAATTGCTGAAAAACAGTGCGCCTTTAAAACTGTGCACATATACTATTGGCAAAATTTATTATTTTCACATTTTATATTTTAGCTTTTATTTTATAAGTTACATTTCGAGAGACCTGATGATAAATAGTAAATTGTATTATGCGAAACCGGTCGTCCAGGGTAAAATAAATTGATTGCGTTTATAAATATTAAAACAGTTTTGATGACATTCAATCTTCGATAATAGAGGAATATAAAGAATGTTAATTAACAATAATATTAAAACTAGCATGCTGCAACATATCTAGATATTCTTTATATCTGTTAAACTCAATTATCACAACTCACTTTATTTCTATTGCAGATCATGTACAACAAAACATATAAGGATAAGTTTGAAGAAAAGAAGAGATTTAGCGCTTTCAAGGATAACCTGAAGGAAATCCGCCATCACAATAATCGATATGAGAAAGGTTTAGAAACGTATAAGGAACGTATAACTGTTTTTGCAGATTTAAGTAAAAGACAATTTGACAAAAAATATCAGCTAAATAGACCTGGAGTAATGAATATATATCCAAAAAGCTGGAGGAACCGTCATATAGATAGAAATTTAACGAAGGTCTATGTAGATTGGAGAAAAGAGGGTGCCGTTACCCCTGTGAAAAATCAAGGAATATGTGGTTCATGTTGGATATTTAGTGCAGTAAGTTTATTTTCAAAAATAGTTTAAACTTTTGATATCACTTATGAGTATCATATTACGTTTTTTTATTTAATAATTCTCATATCCTCGTTATATATACAGTGTGTCCAATTAGCCGCATGTTTATATCTTTGTGTATACGCTGTAATTTGTTTCTCCCACCCCGCATCGGTTTTTACCTTCCTGCATTGATCGATTCATCATTAGTACGGAGGCACGGTTCGAAGTGATAAAATACATTCAACCAACTTACACCTTTAAACGATTAATGGAATTCGTAGAAAACCTTTTGTTGTAGTAAAAGGCACGGTAAACTGCACTGGAGATCTCCATAATCTTTTTAATTACTTAGTTTGTTTTAGAACTAAATTTTTGTCTGTATTATCAGTTAGAGTTAATTTGTATAAAATGAGGAGCAAAAATTCAAATGAAATTTTAAATATTATTGTTTATTTGGCTAATTGTGAATATATAAATATAATGGTTAACCTGCTGTACAATTATTTTGTAAATAGCATTACAATAGTGTACTTACTGACTATTTAAATTTATAAATCATTATCATTGTCCCTAAATTTATTACCGCTATCATTATGTAAATCTATAATCACTGGAATAATTTCACTAATTATATTTTCCCGGATCCACCACTTTTCTATTAATTTTTCACCTTTATTTACAGTTTTCGCCCATATTTCTGGAGTTGCATCGTCGTTGCAGTTTTAAGAGCTTCTTGCCACATTTCCTGAACTGCATCGTCACTGTATTCACTGCATCTCAACGGGATTATCATCATACATTTTACATACTATACCCAGATTTGTTCGATGGTATTAAACTGGCAGTGATATGGAGGTAACCGTAGTACTTGATGTACATAACTTGACATAATTTAGTCAACTATATAAACTGTTGGTTTTTTCACGATTGTTTTGGTTGTTTCTCCAAAATCTCCGAATAGTAAGGTGCATTATAACTGATGGTTCACTCAGACTAAGTAGCAGTTTCTCCTCAAGCCATTTAACAAACATATCTGCATTCATGTTTTCATGGTAATCAGCAGATTTTGATTTTAAAGAAAAAATTAAATTTGTGTTTTCTATAAAGCCTTCTTTCCCTCCTGCATGAAGAATTATGTGTCTTTTGCCTTCGCTATGTATGTGTTTTATTGATTTTATGCTGTCGTTTTGCCAAATTCTTTTAATTCCACCCTTTGCAAATATCCATGTCTCATCTAAGTATACGAATGTTACATTTTCAGATTTAAGTCTAGTATATTTTCTCAAAAATTTAATTCTTTTATAAAGGACTACTCCTTTTGCATAAAAGTATATAAATTTTAAATATCTCAACACTTTCCAAAGGCTAGTCCTCTTAATTTCAGAAACTTGTCTTTCTCTTATATTGGCCAGTCAGTATCTAAACTAAAACTCAATGATCTTAGAATTTTTACGAGTTGTTTTCTTGTCTTCGTGATATTTAGTCATAATAAGCTCTATTTGAGAGTCTGACAGTCTCCACTACAGTTTTTAACTTATTTCACTTATCCCGAGTGCGTCTCTCATGTTAAGTATTTATGCACATTTTCAATTAAATCATCAATATCCAACTTACGTCTAGGCATGATGGTCACTTGACACTACACGTTTGACCTATTAACATAGATGAAATTGGAGCTCTTTTTGGCCTCTTATATATCACAGGAACATGACAAGCAAGTCATGTCAATTTGAAAGACGAATGTCACTGAAATGGTACAAAGTTCTACTCAGATATATCAGTTTTGATTTAAAAAAAAAGTGTAAGCAAAGAAAAAAGTTAAAGAAAAAAAAAACTAGCAGCAATTCGACAGTTTTTTTATTCATTCGTTGACAATTGCAAAGCTGGGTATAGCCTGTCCGAATTCGTAAGTATTGACAAAAAATTTGAAGCCTTTAGGGGACGATGTTCTTTTCGACAGTATATAAACAGCAAGCCAAACAAATATGGCATTCAAATTTTTGCTTTGAACAATGCTAAGATGTTCTGTACTGCTAATTTAGAAGTTAAGGTTGGGTGTCAGCTAGACGGGCCGGTTTTTGTAGATACTTCGGCTTCTTCTGTTGTTGAGCAAATTCAACCAATTTTAAATTCAGAAAGAATTATTATCCTAGATAATTGGTTTATGTGTATACCCGTAGTGGAGAAGATATTGGAAAATGATAGACTAAGCGTTTTAAGAACTATAGGTAAGGGTAAAAGAGTACAAATATTTTATTAGTACAAGGAAATCGCCTTGGAAGATCAAGTATTTTTGCTTTTAGAAAAAATTATAACCTTGTTTCTTATTGTATAAAGAAGAAACAAGTGGTGCTCCTGGCTTCAGGTATGCATTTTGACGACAAAATAGATGCTGAAACTGAAAGATCCAACAAACCTGAAATATTGACTACATATAATCAGACCAAAGGCGGCTTTGTCAAAATTATGTGCAACATATAATTGCCCAAGAATTACCAGAAGGTGGCTAATGGTCGTTTCTTATGTTTGTCTGAATTTTGCTGGAACCAACACTTAAATTGTTTATTATGCAAATAATAATGAAGAGAAATACATCATTTTTACGAGATCTAAGTTTTGCGTTACTTAAAGATCATTTGCGCACAAGGTTTCAATCACCTTATTACCAACAACTTTGAAGCTAATTTTTTTGTTTTCAAGAAGAAGAAAAACAATCAATTATCTCTTTTCCCCCAAAAAGGTAGATGTAAATATTGTACAAGATGCCACAAATGTTTTAGAATTTTTTTGTTAAAATGTTTGTTAAAAGTTTGTTCATTTTTCTGTATGAAATATATATTTTTCCTCTTTCGTTTTTGTTGACACATTTTGTTTAATTTTAATTAATAGAAACACAATATTTTTCAGGTAATTATTTTTAGTTCAATTAAAATAAGATCATAAATAAGTGCGGACTCCGCGAGCGACTTGGCATATTATAAAAACTGGCGCGCTCATTGAAAAGTTAAGACAGCATCATTATGGGAAACTTTTTTATTATTAATTTTATGAAAACAAGTAATCCTGTATAAAAAGTTGTGCATGGTCCAGAACCTAAGATGCAACCATCAGCTATCAAATTTTAGATATGTTTTAATTAATTATAACACTGCGACCATTTGTTTTGCCACGCACAGCTAACTATGTTTTTTAAGTACAATTTAAGATCACTTGGCACTATTGCACTTGATCATCACTTGTCGCTGCTTTGCTAGACGGTTTACAACCTCCTTACCGTGTATTCTAATATGAGATGGAACCCAGATTAATACCACGTTTCAAGTTCTTTGTAAATGTCTTTATGAATAGGGTTGCTGGAGTATATGTTTTGGATGTCACAAAGGGCATTCATTGAGTCAGTTATGATTGTGTAATTTCTCTGGTTCGTTTTGTTAATGAATTTTAGAGCTTCAAGGATTGCGTATAGTTCTGCATTGGAGATAGTCCAGTTGTTATGCAACTTAAATTTAGCATTATGAGTATTACAGAAAATGGCAGCGCTGACTGCGTATGTTGTTTTTGATGCATCTGTGTAGATCTGTCGGTAGTCGCTAAATCTATCCATAATATCTTTGAAGTGGTTTATTAATAAGGCTGGTGAGGATTCATGTTTATTAAATTTTGATAGATCAGTGATTACTGGTGGTTTATTTACAGTCCATGGAGGAGGAGGGTTTTCGGAAGGGTGGTATATTGTCGGAAATATTATGCTATATTTATGACGTAATCGGTTAATTCGTTCATAGAAAGGCGAATTACATTGAGGATGAGATGAAAAGTAGTGGCTAAAACGATTGCTATGAACGTTGTGGTAGACTGGGTTATCTAGAGAGGATAGAACTTACAAGCAAACTACAAACTTAAAAAATCTCTTCTAAATTCTAAAGGGGTTTGCCCTGACTCACTGCATATACAGAGTATTGGTGGGCTTGTTCGAAAGGCACCTAAAGCGACTCGCAGTCCCGAATTTTGAATTACATCTAGTTTTTTAAGAACAGATTTCTTGGCTGAGTTATATAGCACTGAGCCGTAGTCAACTTTTGATCGAACTAAGGATGAGAAGAGTCGTAGAAGAGTTGCCGTATCGCTGCTCCAGGTGATGTTTGGCAATGTCTTAAAATATTAATGCTTTGCTGGCAAGTATCTTTTAGATTTTTAATGAGACTTTTCCAATTCAATGTTTTGTTGAATGTAAGACCGAGGAACTTTATTCCTTTTACAAAGATCAGATTCTTACCAGTCAATGTTAAAATTGGATTGTCTTCTTTTCGATTTTTAGAGAAGAGCAACGAATTAAAAACTATGTCTTAATATGAAATTACATCATTCTAATTAAAAATTGCTATTCTCAAATTACCGATCCAACATCATTTTTATTTATTACAAATATGATAACTGTTCTGTTCCGATAGAAAAAAGGTTATTAACTCTTTAATGTTTATTGGATTATTCATATATTTTGTTTTGTGAAAATTTGTTCATCATTTTTTATCGGAAACCGTTACCGTATTTGTAGTAAATAAAAATAATATTGTTCGGTATCGGTAAGTCGAGAATTTTTTTTTTAATTGAAAGTATGTAATTTCTTGTTAAAATAAAGTTTTTTATTCCAAACAACTGTTTATAACACACAATTTTTGATAATGTGAAATATAAAGGTACTTTATTCTTGTACCTTATTCTTATCAGCTTCCAATCTCTGATTCCCATCTCTCTGACATCTTCCATCACTACATCTCTTTTTTTTTCTCGTTTTTTCTCTCTTTTTTGTCCATAGGTACTCTTCAAAGCAATATGCATGAGTAGTCAATTCTTTCTAGATTTTCGAGCCATTTTGGTCTACGTTTTTTTACCACTTTTGTTATTGTAGGGTTAGAATACAAATGGTACACTTCTGCAATAGTTCGTCTTCTCCATTCTGTCTCTCCTCCTTTCCACCGAACATTCTGCATAGTATCTTT